CGAAAAGCGAGACCCGAAGAGAACATCGCTTGAGAACGCAACGTCTCGCTGCGAAGCGATCAACAGCCGGACTCGGCGGCGTGCCGGGGAGGGGGGAGACGCGGAGGCGCCTCAGAACTCGGAACGAGACGCGTCGGAACGCGACGCGGAATGGGAGGACACGGTGGAAGAAGAGGGTTGGCGAAGGGGCGAGGGAGAGGACGACAAAGAGAGGGAGCGGTGCGTCGTCTCGCAGTACGCGGGGGGCGGGGGCGAGAGGAGAAGGAACGCGGCGCGCGCGTCGGTGCGAGGGAGACCGGACGAAACGCAGCGCGAGAGGAACGAAGAAGCAGTGAGCGCGTCGACCGGGGGGGCGAAGAGAGAGAGAGGGGGTGGAAAGGAGGGTTGGGAGGGAGGGAAGCTTTTCGGTTTTTCAGCGACATCAGAGCGCCGCCGTCTCAGTTCCCGCCCGACTAGCGGTTGGTTCGAGTGTGTGATTATCTTTGCATTCTCAGCTGCTTTTTCGATTCGAAGTGCGAGAGACGAGATTCGAGGGGAGGCGGCGGAGAGAGAGAGAGAAAGAGAGGCCGTTATTTGAGACGCCCTTCATCCTCCGGACGATTCTCCACGAGAGTTTTCCCTTCCCTTGGAATAGGATCAGAGCCGTGGGAGGAGACGCTTCTTGCCGGCTCGCTTTTCACGCGCTGTTGCGCGAGATCGGAAATTTGAAAAGATCGTCGACGAGGTGTGCATCGAGAAGAATTGCGGACGTGTAACGTGCGGTGAACTTATTCGGCGATACCTTGATCGGACGCGATTCTCGTTCTGAGAGTGCTCGAGGAAGAGGCCTACCACGCGGCGACCTGATCGATATAATTGACGATAATTGTCACTGACTGATAATCGTGAGAGAAAGAGAGAGAGAGAGAGAGAGAGAGAGAGAGAGAAGGAGGAGGGGACAGAGAGAGAGAGAGAGAGAGAGAGAGAGAAAGAGAGAGGAAGGAGGGGACAGAGAGAGAGAGAGAGAGAGAAAACTGGTTTCCCTTTTCTTTTGTTTCTTTACGGAATTGCCGATCGACGAGAGGAGGGAGCACGCATTTTCGGAGCGACCTGCGATTCGAGGTGCACTTTATTACAGGGTAAGGAGGGTTTTGTACGCCACGTCGACCATCCAAGCGAACACGGAGACGCGGACTCTTGGGTGCCGTATCGAGTGTTTTCGATAATGTACGTTCGACACATTTGCATATCTCGTCTCGAGGAACTGAGGTCCGCGTCGAAATGAACATGCGGCGTTTTGCAAAAAGAAAATTTCTCGAGATATTGCCGCGAAATATCCCAAGATGCTCTCTGCATGTTGTTCTATATATGCTCTATCCGTCGATGAGTTACCGGTGAAAGATTTACCGCTGTAGAATCTGAGAAATTTGCAGAAGACTCAAGACTACACAAGCATCGCGTCCTTAACGACGGATTTATTACAGAGATACGCAACGGCACATACGGCAAGATTTTGAGATACCGGCGTGTGTGCAAATTTCATCCGAAGAACGTGAGGAATTATCGCGTGTGCGATGACATAAATTTAATCCACGCAATTTGCGTGCGTCCGTTACCGAAACGCACGTGAGACTACAAACAGAAATTCTGGCTCTCCTTCGAAATTTTTTTCCGACGGAAAAGAACAACGTGTAAAATGAAACGTTCACCGTTCAACAAAGTTCTACGCGTTCTCCCCCTAAAATCTTCAAAAAATATTTCATTTAACGTCATTTAACTTCACAAAGGTCTCGATATTGACTCGCGCCCGAAATTTTAATTTACCATTGAGAAGACCCCGCGAGAGGAACAAAACGGGGGCGCAAACGAGAAACGAGGCGAATACAGGAGGGATCGAACGCGCAATGTCGAATTCACACGTACGGAAATCGCGATGCGCGCTTTTTTTTTTTTTTTTTTCAGAGACACCCCGTATATATGCAGAAGCGCCGAGTGTCCAATGCTCCCATAAGTAAATCCACTCCTGACGCATAACGTTCTTCCACACGTGTGTGCAGCCCGTCTTTCTTTTTATTACTTCTCCGTTCCCACTCTTTGCCGCGACTTCGCCGGGGAACGGGTCTTGAACGAGACCGAGAACAGGTTAAAATAACGCGTTACCGACATGCACTCTTTATGCATTTTAAAACGACCGCGTTTTCACCGCCGTGACGGAATGTGTCCTTTCGAGAGCGACACCTTCGTCGGGAATTCGCTCGTTTCATTTAATGGCTCGTTTAGCGTCATATATATGCGAATTACTTACGGACGAAGCCGTTTCGTCTCATCCGTTACAACTGATGAGAGTCAGTAAACACGGTGCGTTATAAAATTAATCTATTTTCCTCAGCGAAAGCAAATTCTTCCTCGGCACAACTGATAATCGCTTATTTCATTTTAATCACTCTTAATTGACCAGGTATAGCGACGTTTTATCTTTGTTTTACAATAACAATTAATCGCTGATTTATCGCAACTAATTTACTATAATTGGAAGATAACGCCAGTATATCTGCTCAGCTACGATTCTAAATTTCTCGAGAGATATCTATACTTGAAACAATGTGTTCTTCCCTCCTTGGTCACTTCCAATCGTCCGCGTGACGATTAAGACGAACTTAAAATAACAATTAAGCGACATATGTATTTCACATTCTTCGCACGTTCGAGCCATATTCTGGCGCGAAGGTCCGAAGAAGTTCCGGCGATAAAAGAGATAATGAGCGAGAATACGCCTCGCCTCGTCTCGAAACACCCGGAATAGCCCGAAGATAATTTTGGAACACCACCATCATGGATTCCTTATCCTTAGAAGCTCGCTGGTGCTCGCCGCTAGAGGAAACGCTCACCCCTAAACCCACGCCTCGCGCGGCCACGTCCGACCACTCGCGTCGTCGCTAGCGACTAGCAGGAGCAATCAACATGAGCATTTAGGACGTAATCTCACGAGTTCAGCCATTAGTCCGCCTGCATCGAGCGGCAGGATCCCGACCCTAATCTCAGTCCACCACCGCCGTGTATGATAACGATGTTATCATCGGGCTCGGCACACAAGCAACCGAATATTTGACGCTGAGAATCTACCCTTTTCCTGCTGCCACGACGGCTACTCATCGGCCGACCCTGAAAAGGATACGCGAAGGATCCTTTCACCTTTCGGTGTTTTCTGTTTATATATAAACTATCAGCGACGGTAAACGTGACACGCGCGTGACGAATGGGCGCGATAAACTCGTCCTTCCCCGACGTCGTCGTGCGTCTTCAGGCTTCCTCTAGCCGTGCCAGAAGTGGCCCGCTTACGAGCGCCGTCTGAACGCGCAACGCGCCGCGAATCTACCCGTCCATCGATTTATGGAACTTTTGGCAAGCCACGCTAACCGGCTCTCTCTCTCTCTCTCTCTCTCTCTCGCTCGCTCTCTCCTTCGGCCGCCGCTCGGTGCCGCTTGGCGAGTATCCTTCGCGGCTTCATCGATCCTGGAAACGTCCAACATCCTTCGAGTACGAGAGAGCCGCCTCTCAGTCCTCGGCCGAGCTCTTTCAGACACACCCTGTATGTCGTGTATCGATCGCACGCTTCCTCCGCTTCTCATCGCACGTGGGTACGAATGCGTCGCAGAGGTGGTCAACCTTCGCGTGCTGCTCGCCAGCAGCTTTTTCCGCGGATTCCTCGATGCACGTTTGAACGCTACGGACCGGCCAGTTCCGCTCTCCACCAGGACTTTTTCAACGCGACTGTCGTGTGTGAAAAACGCGAAATCGACGGCTGTGCTCAACGAAGTCACGAGTCCTTGTTGTGTGACTAATCGCGCGTCGCACGCGCGCGATCAACGATCGTTTCGCCATGACGACCTCGAATACCTCGGCGCATCTTTGTATTTAAATTGTGACTCCCTATAAGACCTTTATCTCTCGCTATCGACATCAGCCCGATAAGATTGTCGGATCCCACGCGAAAAAGTTGATACGAAAAACAGGGTGTTTTGTCAGAGTGACGAGGCCTCAGCAAAGGTCAGCAGAATTAACGAGGCACGTGTCGTTGGCAGTCGGCTTTTTTGATCGGCGAAAATGCTATAGTTCGCGTCAGAAAGAGGCACACTCGAATGCAAATTCCCAGCCGTTGATTTGTAGACAGTTGTTATGAACTAGTTGGCTGCTTAGCTAGCTAGCTGACTGGCTGGCTGATTACCTCTCCGCGCATGTTACACGCTCGGTGCATCGGACGACCACGTGAACACGCCGACACGGATCTCTCTGACGCATTTTCTTCGTTTTGTTTACACATCGATCGTCATTGCGGTTCGCCATCGGCGACGCGTAGATATTTATTACGCGTGCACGTCCCCGATTTACGTAATACCGTACGATGCGCGACACATTCTATGCGCGGGACACTGCTTCTTTTCTCTTTATCTGACAGAGATAAATTTGCACAATTGCTTTTTTCTCTGCATCCTTGGTGCAACTCAAGCCTGAGATGCACTTTTGCAATCCTGCACTGGAGTGTATTTTTGCAACCTCCCCCCCCTCCCCATCCCCCGAACACTCTGTCTCCTCCCGATATTTCTCGGATTTGCCAGAGAGAATTTTTCTCTTAATTAAGAAGTCATGAAATCTGAAACTTTAAAAGCTACCGTCAAAGAAAATCACGTGAACGCTGTCGTGCGTCATATATTTTTTTTTTTACCTTAGAAGTAAAGAAGGTCAAACATGATGCAGTTAAATGTTTTATTATTATTGGATATTAATAGACGAAAAGTAAAAAGAACTTACTGTTTGCAGCGAATAATTTAATAAGAACGACAAATCCGCATGAGGTGAAATTTTGCTCACGGTTTAAGCCTTGAAGGATCAAGAAATTTGTTCGTAAAATTTTTTATGTCGTATGTACAATTGCGAGAGAAGAAGCTCACACGCAATGAATCAACAGTTAGACTATCGGCCGATGCGATGCGTAATACACTTTTTTCTTTCTCGGTTTTCAGATTACAATTATGAAGGATACCACCACGAATTACGATTATTCCGAGCCGTGGACCTTGCCTCCGAAGCAAGGTCTGTACGATCCTACTCTCGAGCGAGAGGCATGCGGCGTCGGGTTTATCGTGGCCATTGACGGAAAGAGGTCGCATAAGGTGAGCGCGCCGATTTCAAGCCCCGTCGTCTGTCGCTTTGAAGTGTAAAGTTCAAAGAACGCGTTTCTCTCATAATACGCAGCTTGATCTCTGCAACCGGCTACGAATGCGCACGTGTATTGCGTTATACCGCGTGGATTTATTACATAAGCAATAAAGATAAGATAAGCGTTTGAGCGTAGGAAACCCGACGCTAAGGTAATAGACTGATGAATGATAAACGCCGAAGGTATCGCGATTAACAGACATTCGACCGCGCACGAGCTCCGACGACGGAGTTAAAGAGAAACTAAGCGACACTTGTAGAATTGCAGAGGTGTAAGTAGAGGAATGTGATATCAGACCGGGCTCTGATGGTCGTTAAACTGCACTACGTTACTTTTTAGACCGAACTTGTAAATATCAGAGACGACTCGACGACGTTTGGAAAATCGACACGGAAAAAACGGCAAAAATAAAAATCACGGGTCACAGACAAGTTACGTAAAAATTACATGCTGATGAGGGACATCCGTTTAAGAGAAAAAAAAAAAAAAGAGACGAGTTTCATGTGCAAAATTAACGACTCATTGACGATAAACGCGAACTACGACTTTTTCCCCGCCGGCTGGAGAGATAGGGACGCTGTTTGGGCCGGTGTTCGCTCTCACGCGGATGTTTATGCCTGTTATCTTGCGGATTTCAGATCGTCCGAGATGCCCAGATACTGTCGGCGCGAATGAATCACAGAGGGGCATGCGCCTGCGATAACGATACCGGCGACGGCGCTGGGGTGCTTTGCGCAATACCGCACGACTATTACGCCAATGAAATTCGGTAAGAGGAACGACGACGAGCGCCGACGCGCCGCAAATCTTGTTCGCTCGCGCGAAATCAAAGCCAGCGCCTCGAGTAGAAACTCGTATATACAGAGAGAGTTCTCTCTAGAATGTATTTATAAATTATCGGATTGGATCACACACGCGAGCCGCACTTGGCCCTAAATACGGCGCCGTCCGAATCGCGCGACGCGTAAGATTGCACGCGGAACACGACCGTTGATTAAACGCTCGCGATTTTGATCGCGAGCGGCGAGCCTTCCACTCGGGAGATTCTGCATCACGGAGAAAAATGTTCGATCGAATAAACCAGTTTTCCGGTTTAAAATACGGATGGTTCGGAAACTCCGATTGAAAGTAGCAAAATACTGCTTAAGCTGTTAACCAGCATCCAAAAAGAATATTCTATTTGTAAAGCGATTTTTCCCATAGCCTCATATTCTGAGCGAAGCCTTTTACAGATAAAAGGATTCCTCTTTCAATCAAGCGATTAAAGCGAAGCATTCATCTAAAATTTATTAGATATTATTCTGTTTTCCTCTTGTCTCAAGAGGATTTCCTCTTATATCAAGAAGAACGCTTGTCAGCGTTGTTCCTCTTCCATCTACTCACACAGAGACATTCTCTCTGTGCACTTGACGATCGTCGCCGCATTTCTTTTATTTCTTTCTCACACAACGTCTAGAGCAAAGGAGAAAAGAAGAGAAATCGTTATTCAGTTTGTGTTGTTCTTCCCGGTTAGTTGAAGAATTTTTGAAGAAAATTAACTTAAAGACATACTGATCCATATTTCAGCGTAAGTACATACATATATATCCATTTATCACATCACATTGCACACCACATTAAATGTCATTTAGAGTACTTGAAATTATAAACTTATATTTTTTTTCTACTTTTTTCAGCAGAAATTAAAAAAAATAATTTAACTAGAATTTTTTCCGGACAGTTTCATAATAATTTTCTCTTCTTTCCTTATAGAGGAACGTATAACGAGTAAAAATTAAGTACAGTAAGAATAAATAATAATCTTCTTAAAAAAAGATTAAATAATCTGTGTATAAGAGGAGATTTATATTAAAATCAATAAGATTTGCATTATACATATAACAAATAATTCCTCTAACTTTAAGAATGATGTGTTTATATTTTCCTTTTAATTTTAGAGAAATCTTCTTGAGGCCATATATAAGAGTAAAATCCTCTAAAATGTAGATGATTCCGCTTATTCTGAAATTAATTTTTGTTTCTTGGTGCTAGAAATCTTGATAATTTCGGTAATAATAGATCGGATTCCGATAACTTGGACCGAAATTTCTCTATCGTCCATATTTCACCAAGGAATTCTTTCATTCAATCCAACCTTTTTTTTCCTCCGATATTGCATTTCGGATAAATTTACCGGTGACTTTTTGATAATCATTTGCATTGATCGGATGCAGTACGATAAGATCTGATACATCAAGCTGTCAAAATAACACACATATATTTGAATATACCACATAACATGTAACGTACTGTTATTAATTTCAATAAAATTTGAAGATTTTGCATAACACTCTACTATACATAAATTACGACTATCGATTATTCGACCAATCGGTTTTAGTGACAGCTCGATACATCATACGCCCAAATGCGATAGGAATAACTAGAAAGGTCAATATGTATCTTTATCTGGTAAACAATAAATATTAACTTTTTATCAAAGTTTAATGCCTCGATCAATCGTTCAGACAGCCGTTCTGCCGCGGATCCTTGGCACAGTTCCTCGGATCCTTAGTCACGGATTTTCTTTCCTCAGATCTCTGGATCTCCGCTCTGCTCTGGACTCTTGGTTTCTCTAATCGTCGATCGATTCGAGAGACCTCGATTCTAGTTTTAAAACCGTGAAAATCGTAGAAACCTACACGAGACTGTCCAGCAAACGAATATGAATAAAAAAAAGACAAACTGAACGAGACGAAAATTCAAATACAATCGGTTCAGACTCGAATGACGAACTGAATCACCTGCATTTCGCATTGCAGTGAACAGCAAGATGTCGAACTGCCCGAGTTCGGACGATACGCGACCGGCATCTTGTTCCTCGACAAGAAAACGCACAAAGAAGCGGAAGCTGCGTTCGAGAAGTTAACTGAGGAGTGCAATTTGAGAGTAAGACACGATAATTTGATAACCACTTTACCACTCGCGTTGTCGCGCATGCAAATGCGCTCCGTTTAACGTCTAACTCGACATTGCGCGATTTGCAGGTGCTCTGTTGGCGCGACGTTCCTACCGATAATATGCAAATCGGCCAAGTGGCGAAAAAATGCGAACCCTACATGCGTCAGGTGTTTGTCACCGGCGATCAAGATGCGGAAACGCTTAAACGACAGGTAATTCGCCTTGAACCTGCGACGGTCGTGGGTCAATTAATTGCGAACGGCGCTTCGCTGCTCGATCTTCTCTCTCGCAATTCTCAGCTCTCGTAGGCACGAGAAAGATCGTAAACGGGAATTTAATTGATCGGAGTCGCGCGACATGTCGGCCTACTACTAATCTTAGCAAAAGCGCGAAATAATTAGACAGCGTTCGAGGTTAAATATAGAAACGAGAGAAGTTTCCAAACAACTTCACGCCCGTTTGACGGTTCATTAGTACTTTCCACGCGTTATCTTCGCTTCGCCGAGTGTTGTTTTCGAAGGCCTCGCGCGGCGCGACAAATTCCTGGCAGACGAAAAAAAAAACCGCACGCACATGACGCTGCACCGTATTCAGGGTTAAACGATTCAGGCATTAAACGGCTTTGCCAATTTATAAAAATAGAATGCAAATTCGTCGCGAACAACCGCGTTTTTCAAGGTTGAGCACGCGCACACAGACAACGACAGTTCGATCGTTTCTTAATTACGCCACATCTCACGCTTTAATTACGCCTCGATCGTGCCCGTTTCGCCAGATATTCGTGCTGAGGAAGAGATCGTCGCACTCGATACCACGACCAGGATTGCGTTACTACATCTGCTCATTGTCGTTGAAGACGATCGTCTACAAGGGTCAGCTCACCGCCGATCAATTGTGGCTGTATTTCACGGACTTGAAGGTGAGCAGCCATATTATCTGCATTTCCTTCTCTCGACGGAGAGATCGACAGTTGCGTTCAGCAGACTATTAGCGATTACTATCGTAAATCTCGATTGGATCTAACAATACGTCCCAAGAATAGAAATCCTGGAATCACTCCGATCGCTCGTTAAGCTCCTTGCTAAACGCTAAACGCATTACTGCTATAATTCATTGCATCGTCGGATCGAGATGTAGAACACGCAAGTCGATGATCTAATGTGAGCTTTTCCTCTTTTCTGTATCAGTCTCCCAAATTCGAGACCTATCTAGCGCTGGTGCACACGCGCTTCTCCACGAACACGTTCCCGAGTTGGGAGAGAGCGCACCCCCTTCGGTAAGCGTAAAAAAACATGTTTATATAAATGTGACGAATGCGAAGGATAAGATAATGTATTCGAATTGGTTGTTAACGACACAATTAATCGGCATAATTTGACATATCTCATTGGTTATCGCGCGACAACTAATGAACCCAAGACAAAGTTTTCAACCGAATTTTCCTTCGAACGTGGATTTTTGCCGCGCGCTTTTATTACTTTTATTATCCGATAAAATATTCGTCACGTTCCTCGGGCAAGTACATAAAACTAGACTTCGTTGTAAGTCGAGAAATTAGTTCCTTTTTTTTATTTTTTTTTAAACATAATGATGGCCGATAAGGTAAAGTTGATAAGCGGTGTAGCGAGAAAATTATTGCTATTTAAGTGTTTTTTTTTTTTTTCGAACGCTCTGCCTTCCACAGGCGCTATCGCGCTGACTTTTCCTGCGCAATATCCAGCTGTAAACGAAGATAGACGTTATTATAAATTCTTATCGAGCAAGGCCAGTATGTCAATTAACCGCTTTATTCCGAAACTATTGCTTTTTCAGGAGTACTTTTTGCTTCTTTCGCGCGATGTATTAATTATAAATTTTCCTCCGAAGGTGCGACGAATCGCTAATTAGCGGTTGACTTTGCAAATCTCGTTATCTCGTATACCGCGTCTCTTAATTTCAGTCACGTTTTTACGCACTGAAATATCCGTATCATTGATGAGATCAGACCACGTGGCGTTCCAAACGCGAGGTTTCGCCTGTGTTGCGAAAGCGCAGAACAGGGAAGCGTTAAAGCACCACTCTTTTCCTCCCGACAGATTGCTCGCCCACAACGGCGAAATTAACACCCTGCGCGGCAACGTGAACTTCATGAAAGCGCGAGAGGGTGTAATGAGTAGCCAGATCTTCGGCGATCAGCTGAAGTTGCTCTATCCGGTCGTGGAGCCAAATCTGTCCGACTCCGGCTCGGCCGACTGTGTGCTCGAGTTCCTGGTGATGGCGGGACAACGCTCCTTGCCCGAGGTAAAAATGCGCTTTGCCAACGTGCGGAACTCCCACGTTCTACGTCGGACTCGAAATCCACCACGTACGTGGCATCCTACGCTCGACCTGATCGAGCCGATCGATGCACTCGTTGCAAAAGTTCCCACAGATTCGACTGCGGCGATCCTCACGAATCCTCATATCTGCGGCACCTCCATTTCAGCTCCCGGATCCCATGTAGCTTCAGGATCTTACAGGGTCGTTATTTTCGGAGATGATCGCGTCGTGCGGATCCCTCGTCTCACTACTTCCTCTCCAGGTCATCCATCGTTTCAGAATTTTCCTTCTTTTACGCCGATGCCGCTTCTGCAGACCTATCCCTCCCTCTCTCTCTCTCTCTCCCTCTCCCTCTCCCTCTCCCTCCCTCTCTCTCTCTCTCTCTCTCTCTCTCTCTCTCTCTCTCTCTCTCTCTCTCTCTCTCTCTCTCTCTCTTTCTCCTCAAAGATCCGGAAGATCGCGGATATGAGGATCAACGCGCCGCATTGTCGACCCTCCTCGCTGCCGCAAATGTCAGCAGCCGCGCGCTACGATTCCTTAGCTTTCCGCAGCTTCCTGGTCCGCCGAGAATCTCGGTCCACGTGCAAACACTTGAAACGTCGTTACTGAATCCAGGCTGTCATGACGATGGTGCCGGAGGCTTGGCAGAACGACTTGACGATGGTCACCGAGAAGCGCGACTTCTACCATTGGTCGGCGTGCTCAATGGAGCCTTGGGACGGTCCGGCCCTCCTCACCTTCACCGACGGCCGCTACGTCGGCGCTATTTTGGACAGGTAGACGAATTTTCTATCTCTTGTTACGTCGTTTATACCACACGTTTCCACGTAGGCGCCAACTCCCTCTCGTTCGTGCCATCTGGTAACCTCCGCTTACGCACTTTCATGCGCCCATAGATCCACGGGTCTGTGAGTGCCCGGATCGGCAATGATCCGGGCGGTTTTGTAGGTTCCTGGATCTCTGGCTCCGAGACTGATCTCTAACACTTTGAATCGCTTTGATCGCTGTGACACGTCGCACGCCGCATTTCGACTCGAAATCCTTCCGGCGAATTTCGCAGCTGACTTGAGAATCTTTGAGAAGCACAACAGAGACGTGTGTATGGGACGCGCACACACACACACACACACACACACACACATTTCAGTACTTTAATGTAACGTAGAGTTACCTCGAGAAATACTCGAGTTTGCAAAGCAAGAGATACGAAATTATTGGAAGAACGTAAATGCGGCGGTAAAAATAGACTCTTGACTGCCGACGTGCTTGACAAATGCGAGAGACGAATGTGCGTTAATTCGCTATATTGCACGAAGTTCCTGAAAACCACTAAGGAGAATTCACTTAAATTCGCTACAAGATTGCACAGGTAAGTGAGTGAATCCCTTGTACTAAGATAATTTCATGCAATAGCGAATAGTCGCGAGCGGTATCGCAGATATCGATCAAACATTCCGCAGAAGTTGTTCGCGGAACAGCCACTGATTCATTCGCAAGACTGAACACAAGAGAAGATGACAAACCACCTCGTGACAATGGCGACAAAATTTGCGTAGGCAGTTAAGAGCTAATGCAATTCCAAAGTCACGCGATCTAACTAACACTTTGCTGGCCGAAGCGACCTTTTGCTACTGTCGCACAGTTTCGCGGTGATAAAACAAAGACTTATGGCTTTACTAATCATCATATTACTAAAGTGACTCGCTGTAAAAGTGCTTACTTGATATTCCCTAAGTCGCTAGGGATACTGTCGATTATTCAAAGTGTAGTTTGTTGGAAATGGGTCGTTTCCCGATTTTAAGAATTTGTATTAGAAATTCAGAGACGCGCAAAGGGTTGGGTCGGTAGCAATGATATTCAAAGTGTTGAAAGAGATCCCCCCTCCTCCCATTGAGAGAGAAACGAGACGAACGAAAGGACTCTGCGGTGTTGTTTGTTAGAGGAGCCGCGGAGAAAGAATGCTAAGCCACGTGGGCGTATAGCCTACGCTTTGCAAGACGCATTCAGCAGGATTAACGGTGTTCACGAAATACATGAGAACGGTGCACACGTATTCATTTACGTGTCATAGAGATACACTCGGGTACAGGTAAACATGGATTTCCAAGGTAGAGGGAAGTCGTGCAAAATGAGCGGAATCGACGGCAGCATTTCATACGTTAGTCTAACTTCGTGAACTTGGAATTCGGTTACCGTAAAGAATATTCTTTCAGAAAGTCTAAAAAGACTTAAGCTTTCTCATGAAGGCGTCTTGGTGAAGATTCTTTCGGATAAGAGTTGAAGGTTCTCGATTTAGTTGCAATTTTGTTTTTGTAGGATCATTGCGAGAGAAAACAGAATATTTATATAAAAACAGCAATTGGAACAGGACGGTTGATCCTTCATTCTCAAAGTGTCTGGAACCAATCGTCGCGTCAATCAATTTAAAAAACTCAAATGCCACATTTAATGCCACAACAAATTAGTAGTTGGCAGATTTATTTCAAGATATTTGCAACTGAAAACTGACTCATGTCTCAACGTAAGCTAAGTTCACTTATTTCGTTTCTATGCTATCTTTTAGTGTCGATAGCTGCGAAAAGGGGTGCCGCTCGGGAACTCATAGATAAAAGCGAGTAGAAAAAATAAAAGCTCGAGCGACATATAATCATAATGTTAGATAATAATAATAATAATAATTCCGCGCGCGGCTTTCCTCTGCCATTTCTGCACAGCCGAAGCGAGAATCGATGTTTACGAATTGCTAAGTGTGTCCATCGTTGTCCCGACGTGCCGCTCGTCTGCAGGTAAATAAGGCCTAGGCCAAGAGACTGACAGAGCGAAAGAACGAAAGAGAGAAAGAGCGAGGGAGAGAGAGAGAGAGAGAGAGAGAGAGAGAGAGAGAGAGAGAGAGAGAGAGAGAGAGAGAGGTAAAGAGAGATGAGATAGAAAGAACGAAAGTATAACGCGAATAAGCCAGCAGGAAGGCAGGCAAGCGAACGAACGAACAGCAATGTAGAGTTCACAGCTGATACCTAGCGCGCGACACAGAGGTGGTGAAATACAAAAGACCTTTTTGAATTTTTGTTTGGCAGAAACGGCCTGCGCCCGTCGCGCTTCTACGTCACTAAGGATAACATGATGGTGATGGCGTCCGAAGTGGGCGTCTATGATACTCCGCCCAGCAATGTAGTCCTGAAGGTAAACGAGGAAAATAAGCGCATCTCAACGCAACGGTCCCACGGGAGTCTTTCTCGGTCTGAGGCGGAGACCTAGCTCAGTGTTTATGATTTATCGACGAGTCACCCCGTAATCTTCTGTCCCCAGCCACCCTCATCCGCGCCTTTTCTCTCTGTTTCTCCCAGCATAGAAACATTTCAGCTAGAGAAGAGCGACGAGAGGAGGCTCTCTCGCGTGCGCGAGCGCGAGAGAGCGCGCGCGTGCCCATCCGCTGGAAGTTGGACCCTCCCTGGCCAAGGATGTCTCCCTCTATCACGGGAAGCGACCGAGAGCCCGCTATACAATTGTACAAAAGCAATGCGCGACACCGCGCTCGACAAGTCGCGCTCGAATCGCGCCTCGCCTCGCGATCGTCGGGGGGTCTCGTTGTCCGAGAGTCTCGCCGTACTGACTTGCCGACGACCGATCGGCGGGATAGAAAGAGCGAGCCTTCACTCGGATTTCTCGTCGATGACACCCTCGAGCGCGTATCCGGACGCGATGGAGCGCGCCTTGTTGACATCAACCATCTTCTCGATGGTTTTCACTTGTCTCGTCGACTTGATTATTTGATTTTATTATTGTGCCACGGAACATGACCACCCCGCTTTCACCTCTCGCCGATTCCTCGTTGGAGAAGGAGACGGCGACGGAGGAGTAGAACTTTCTTTATCGGGAAGGAAGGAGAGGTTGTGTGTTCTCTTGGGTTTCTTTGTCTTGTTTTCAGTCATGGTCTCGTCGAGACGCGGTTGTCGTGCGCGGGAGCGGGAATCGCGAACCGCGTCGTGGCTTGTTGATTCCGCGCAAAAGAGAAATGGTTTTGCAGATTTATGGCTTGATAGTTGCATGCCCGCCGCAAATTTTGAGTTCCAGAAGGTCTTTGGTTACACGAATCGTTGATCATGTGCGTCCTTTGGTTACATGTTTATCCTCGACCAGGTTCTTGAATCCGTGGCGTCTTCGTTCTGGGATGCAAGCACCATCATACGATTTCTTTGGCACACGAGTCATTTTATATCTCATCGTGTCTCATGTCTATGCGTCTAACAAACAATACATTATCCATCATGCGACACCTTGGTGCCTGGTCGGAAGCAACAAGCCTGCTGATCAAGCCCGTTTTCGTTTTTGCCGCGGATTTTCCCGCGCGCTGATAAGCGGCGCTTATCACTCTCCGAATACGCTCCGCCGAATAACACCGATGTCGATCGGTATCGAAATATCATACGTTGCCGCTCCCCGCGCGCGTAATCGACAATATCCCGATAAACGAAGTTCTACCATGCAGACAACCATGAAACACTTTACTTTGAGATCGCTCGTCGGGCGACTTTGTACGAACTTGATAGACAACCGAAACTACTGTCGAAAACGAGAAATGTAATGTACTGGCACTCTGCCTTTACGAGATGATGATCACCGATCACCGGTGGCCACTGAATGACGATCATCACTGACTTTGTCCCGGGAGAGACCCGGCGAGATCCTCAGATGCGTGCTCCTGTTGATTCTGCTCGCTTTCCAGTATTTTCAGTAGAGCACCACTTACTTCTAACGAAAGTGCGTGTTTAATGTCGCGTATCTGAGGATCGAGGACGCGTCGATAGCACCCGAAGAGAGTCGGTAAGGGCAGGCTGTCATCGAATCGAATTCGCAAATGCCTACTCGCTGTATGTTAGTACATGTATGATAGCTAATTACATATATCGTATTTTATTTATTTTTTGATCATGTATCATGTATGATGTATAATTTGTCATCTAGGGACTAGGTTTGTATAGAGCTGTAGGACCGTCATCCAGTGCTGTCATATGAATGTCGATCATTCGACGTCGATCCCGTTCTAAGGCGATTATTTGTGTTTCTTTTATTTGCAGAGTCGCTTGAAGCCCGGCCGCATGCTTCTCGTTGACACCGAAGACAAGAGGATCATAGAAGATGTCGAGCTGAAGTTGCAGATCGCTCGTAGTAGGCCTCACTCCAAGTGGCTCAAGGAACAGGTAATTGGAACGCGCGCGATCTCTCTTTCTCTTTCTCTCTTCTTCTCTCCTCTCTCTCTCTCTCTCTCTCTCTCTCTCTCTCTCTCTCTCTCTCTCTCTCTCTCTCTCTTTCTGTTTCTCTTTCGCCGATCAAGATCAATCATCAGTCGTCGGTGGTCGGCGTCATCTACGCAAATGATCTTTGATCGCCGTCCGCGTCGTAGCGAAGCTATTCTTATCGCGCGCAAGAAATGCGTAACTGGATATGTCCAGTTATATGTTGAATCATCGCGACCCGCTTTATTTCATATTATTACTTTGTGTCCTGTTCATTTGAATTTAATTGCCTCGTATCTGTTTCTTCTCCCTCGCGAGGAAAAGAGGAGATTCTAGGTCGAATAAGACTCGCGCATCGTAATTCTCCGGGAAAGAGCGGAACGTCGAGAGCGTCGAGCGGCGTTATCAATTTCGTGTCGTGCAATGTGTCTAATGTTTTTGCATGCAATAACAACGAGATCATCCACCACGCTTGTCGCACGCAGCCGTCCGCGTAAGCGGACGAATCTACTCGTTTCCCTCTCATCCTCGCACCGCCGGACGATTATCATCGATTGATTGAACGCTTCTATTTGATCGAATAACAAAATTGCGCCAATATACGTATACATATATATATATATATATATATATATATATATATATATATATATAAATAATTATGCCTCTTCGTCAGATACTTAACACGCTAGTTCCGCTGATTTTAGCTACCACCCTTCCCCATCCAACCACCCAACCGCACAAATAACACGATTGTGTCAACTTACAAAATTGTCGCGCGCCAGCTTGCAAGAAAAAGTTCTAATGCCACGATAACTTTTTTCCCCCCATTGCTGTACGTGCTGGTATCGTCGTGTGATTAGAGGGTGAGTCGTCCTCAGTCTCAGTATCATTATAAGTGTGTTACCTCTTTTCAACGCTGTCTTTCGCTCGTGGCTAAACGCCACATTGTTCGTCACGTTAACATTTCGAAAAATCTCACATCGCAGTCGAGATCAAGATTGAGAGGAAAAGTCTATTGCATGATGACTGAAGTGACCTCGTGTATGTAGCGTATAATTAACATTTAGCCTTTCTAACATATAATTAACGTATCTGCGATTTGTGTGCTCACTTGAGAATTCTTCATGCCCGGCGAGATAACGCGATGCAACTCCGAAATGCACGTCCGGATTGCATCATCGATTGCATTTCTACTTTCTCGTGAACATACATACGTGAAAGAAGAATACGTTTGCAATTCTCCGACAAACGCCATTATTAACAATGCTCCCCCGAACGCAGATTACCATGGATGAATTGCGCGCCGCGCACGTTAGCAATGCCAACGCAGAGAGCATGATCGAGAACAGACAGACTGTCGGGACAGAAATCGCGAAGAAGAACGCCATGAACGACGTAAACGGCGAGATTTCAGCCGTGAATAAAGTGTGGAGCGGCGACAAACGACTCTCTCTCTACGGCTACACTCTGGAGACCATCAATTTGCTACTCTTGCCCATGGTGCAGACCAAGTACGTTAATTAGGGCGAGTCTTTTTCTCTCTTCTAATTTTTTAACGCTGTATCTAATGTAATGTCTCGTGTGTACACGGAAATAAGAACTAAAGTTAACTAAACTACTACTGCAATTCCAAGCTTTATATTTTCGAACAAAAGCCACCAGCTTACGTACCGTGTTTCTCGATACGTTTTCTCGTCGTTTAATATCATATTTCGACGCTATTTCTGACGTTGATTCACCGATTAAACAAACGAGAAATATTCTTACGCGAGGCTTACGCTCGGTATCGCGAACATCGTTGTTGCTTCGCAAATTGTGTTGCCTTAACTGTCTCGTAATAAACATCGACGAATATCGAAAATTTCAGGAAAGAAGCACTGGGATCCATGGGCAACGACGCCCCCTTGGCATGCTTGTCGGAATTTCAGCCGTTGTTGTACGAATATTTCAAACAATTGTTCGCGCAGGTACGCGATCTCCATATAACATGACATATAACATGACATATTTAATTAAAAAAAAAAATAATGCAATTATGACTTCTATCTCAGGTAACTAATCCACCGATCGACCCGTTCCGCGAGAAGATCGTGATGTCGATGCTCTGCCCGATCGGTCCCGAGAGTAACATTCTGGAGCCAAACGAGCTGCAAGTGCATCGCTTGTTCTTACCGCAACCTATATTATCGTTGACCGACTTCGAGGTCATCAAGCGTACGAGTCACCGTGGATGGAGAACGAAGGTCATCGATATCACTTACCCCGTCGAAGAGGGTCCCAATGGGTTGCTGAAGACGCTGAACCGCGTGAACGACGAGGCGAATAAAGCGGCTAGGCAGGGTTATCAGCTGCTCGTGCTGTCCGATCGTCAGGGTGGTCGAACGAGGTGAGAGCTCCATCTGCAAACCAAAGAAACAAGGTATCTTAGAGGACGACGTTGAGAACAAACGTGAGGATTTGAGTCGATCTTTTGATTTTAGAGTGCCGGTCAGCAGCCTGTTGGCCTTGGGCGCCGTTCATCATCATTTGATCGAAGAGCGACAACGAATGAAGGTCGGCCTCATCCTGGAAACCGCGGAGGCACGAGAAGTTCATCACATTTGCGTGCTGCTCGGTTACGGAGCGGATGCTATCTGTCCTTATCTAGTGTTCGAGATGGCAAAGAATCTCAGGGCGGACAATGTTTTCGACGCGTCTTTCACTGACGAAATTATTTACAAGGTGAGTGCCACAGGATGAAAATATACGTCACATCGCGTCATTTTTAATAATCGTCGTTTTGGAAATTACCTCTTTATACGTGAAAAGTAAAAATGTTTACCCAATAACAAAATTAAATAGCATGAAGACAGAAATAAAAAATAATGATGCAAATAAGTAAATATTTAAATACAAGAACAGACAAATAAAGCGATAATAATAGCGAAAGTGTTCTCCTTTCTAAAAAAATAATCACGAGAGACGATGCCGGTTAGGTCATCGCTTAAATAAATAAATCTAAAAATATTAAGTAAAGAAATGAATAAATATTGCAGAATTATTCAGAGATCTTGGAAATAAAAAACATTGATGCGAATAAGTAAATATTTAAATACAAAAACAGACAAATAAAGCAATGATAATGACTGCAGAAGTTCTCCTTTCCAAGAAATAAATACGAGAGACGGACGATGCCAGTTAGCGCCCATCACTTAAATAAATAAACCTAGAAATACTAAATAAAGAAATGAGCAAATATTGCAGAATTATTCAGAGGCCATGGAACGAGGAATCGCGAAAGTGATGGCGAAAATGGGGATCTCGACTTTACAATCTTACAAGGGAGCGCAGATTTTCGAAGCGGTTGGGCTGGCCGACGAGGTCATCGACAAATGTTTCAAGGTACGTATGATACCTATTTCGTTTTACCTATTATCTTAGCGCCAACTTCTCTCATTATCTTCTCGTCTCCGCGAATACAAATGATTAGTAACTGGATCCAATTCATGACCACCCGATGATTCCAACTTCTCTCAATGATGTATCTCGACATCGATCTTTTCGTATCTTATGACGTAGTGAATGATGACGTGATGAACCATGCACGCTTTAAATTCAGGGTACTCAGTCTCGCATCGGCGGCGTGACGTTCGATATTTTGGGCAAGGAGGCCTTCGAGAGACATCAGATCACGTATTGGCAAAAGCCCATGGACATGTTGGTGATTCGCAATCCAGGAGTCTACCATTGGCGATCCGGCGGCGAGAAGCATATCAACGATCCCATCAGCATCGCCAATTTACAGGTAACAATTCTTGAAATACGGTTCCAGCGTAGTAACATTTGCTGTAACCAACGCCAATCCAACACTGTACGTTTCAGGACTATGTCGTCTCCAAAAACAATTCGGGTTACGAAAATTACCGCAGGACTACGATGGAAGTGGTGAGAGCCTGCACCCTGCGCGGCCAGCTCGAGCTGAAGAAGTCGCGCGACCCGATTCCCATCACGGAGGTGGAAGCCGCATCAGAGATCGTGAAACGCTTCGCGACCGGCGCAATGAGTTTCGGCAGCATCTCCATAGAAGCTCATAGCACACTGGCGATCGCCATGAACCGCATCGGCGGTAAATCCAACACCGGCGAGGGCGGTGAAAATGCAGACAGGTATGAAGAGAGCGAGATAATGATTGATTGAAATAATTTCCAGAGATTCATCAAATTACCAAAGACAACAATCAGATTTCTAACTGACTCCTTCCTAATTCTCAATATATATGTAGCTTGTTATGAGCCAAATTGAAAGATTTAAACATCGCGAATTTTTAAATCTAAGGGATTCGTGAGTTACTTGGTATATTGTCGCCGACATATCGTTGGAATCACCTCCGAGGTTAACGTGAACACGTTATGAAAGCATAGAAACTCTGATGCCCGAACTACTTCGCAGATATCTGAACCAAGATCCGGAGTTCAGCAAACGCTCGTCCATCAAGCAAGTGGCGAGTGGTCGCTTCGGCGTGACCGCCAGCTACTTGGCGAACGCGGATGACTTGCAGATCAAGATGGCACAAGGCGCAAAGCCAGGCGAAGGTGGTGAATTGCCCGGCTACAAAGTCACCGCGGAGATCGCCGCAACCAGACACTCGGTAGCAGGAGTCGGCTTGATCTCGCCGCCGCCGCATCACGACATCTATTCCATCGAGGACCTGGCCGAGCTGATCTACGATCTTAAGTGCGCCAATCCAAACGCTCGCATCTCCGTCAAGCTAGTGTCCGAGGTCGGTGTAGGCGTGGTCGCCGCTGGCGTCGCTAAAGGCAAAGGCGAGCACGTGGTAATATCCGGCCATGATGGCGGTACCGGCGCCAGCAGCTGGACCGGCATCAAATCCGCTGGGCTGCCCTGGGAGCTGGGCGTCGCCGAGACGCACCAGGTATTGACCCTCAACAACTTGAGATCACGCATGATCGTCCAAGCAGACGGTCAGATGCGCACGGGCTTCGACATCGTCGTGGCGGCGTTGCTCGGTGCGGACGAGTTTGGCTTCAGCACCGCGCCGTTGATTGCCATGGGCTGTACGATGATGAGGAAATGTCATCTGAACACTTGCCCGGTGGGCATCGCCACGCAAGACCCGATACTGAGGAAAAAGTTTGAGGGAAAGCCGGAGCACGTTGTCAATTTCTTCTTCGCCCTAGCTGAAGAGGTACGCAGAGTTTTTTCGTTGCTTCTTATTCTCCATCTTCATCTCTTTTATCTAGTCCTTGAGTTTACGCATTATAAGATTGTTAATTTATGCAAGCGTTAATTATTCATGTAAATTGCAAATTATCTCGCTTAAGGGTCGATTTGTTTTTAGTAATTAAAAAGAAAAAAATTTTCGATATCTTCACCACACTTTGTGATATAAAAAGAAATATAACATAAATATTATAGTATAAAATAATTTGCGAAAATAAAATCACTTCATAAAAATGATAATTTATATAACGTGAACTCCATAATATAAATTGCAAATCGTCTCGTTTAAAAATGTATTTCCTTATGATGATATATGATGGTAAAAAGAAAAAAAAAAGAACTCGATAAGATTCTATACTACATATGAAAATAAATATATTATAATTCACATAGTATTAATTATTTTTAACCATAATATGAAACGTTATTTCGCGTGATGCATCTTTAATTAATTCTAATTTCTTTTTTTTGATTTCCAGGTGCGTTCGCACATGGCTAGCCTGGGGATTCGGAAGTTCCAGGACCTAATCGGTCGCACCGATCTCCTTACGGTGCGTGACGACATCGCCATCGAGAAAGCCAAGACCCTGAATCTCAGCAACATCCTACGATGTGCACTAGACTTGAGACCTGGCGTGAATATCAAAGGCGGCACCGTGAAGCAAGATTTCCAGTTGGAGAACAGACTCGACAATAAGTTGATCGAATTGGCCGAGCCTGTTTTGAGCGGAGAACAAAATCGTGTAGACATCGAAATGAACATCAACAACGAATGCAGAGCATTTGGGACGACCTTGAGTTACCACGTAGCCAAGTAAGTCTCTTGATATTCTCGACTTTTTCTTTGACCTTCACGAAATGACTCAGTGTTTACCAAGCCGTGAATTTTTGTTAATTTTAATTTTACTAAGCGTCTATATATACACTGCTCAAAAGAATTATGGCATAGATAATTTATTGCCAAAAATCGGCCAACTTTGACTGGTGATTACTTCGCGAAAAATTATTGTAGACTAATGATTTTTTTTTTTTTTTTTTTTTTTTTTCAAAATGAAGCTTGAAATCTCTACTTTAAGAATGTATCTCCATTTTTGCATGCAATGCACCTCTACCCCTGTAACCCTTGACATCTGAAGGCATGTTTGGTATACTGAAAATTGCAAAGTTTGACGGAATGCACGGACGTGGACAATTTTTTTCGGAGACGCCGTTTGCATCGTCATAAAGTTCAAATCTTCCCCTTCAATTTGAAAAAAATGGAGGCTACAATTTTTTTTCGCAAAGTTACAGCCCTTCAAAAATATTTATATCGTTGTTTTTGGCCTTCGGGCCAAGTGTGCACACCTGTGTGCGTGTGTGTCCGTGACAGAAGAGATAAAGACCCCGTGGTTCGTCACTTCCACAGTCAATAATTACTGAGATGGATTCTTAAAGTAGAGACTTCAAACTTCATTTTGAGAAAAAAAATTATTAGTCTATTAGTCTACTATTAAAACTATTAGTCTACAATAATTTTTCGCGAAGTAATCGCTGGTCAAAGTTGGCCAATTTTCGGCAATAAATTATCTATGCCATAATTCTTTTGAGCAGTGTATATATACATAAGTAGACACAGTGAGAATAATCTCACTCATCTCGTAATTGCTTCACAGGCGATGTGGTGAGGATGGATTACTCGAACATAGTATCAATATCAAGATGAAAGGCTCAGCGGGTCAAAGTTTCTGCGCTTTCATGACGAAAGGTATCCATGTCACTCTCGAAGGCGATGCCAACGACTACGTCGGCAAGGTATAAAAAAGTAACTTACACGAATCCTTTAAATTTCAAAATTTGTGATATTTTATCTGGTATTAAATCTTTTTATCTAGCTTATAGCAAACAAACTATTTGATTCACGTGCAAACCCACATCGAATTACAAAACCGAGTATTAGAAAGTCGAGCAAACAAATAAACAAAATTTGCCTTCACTTGCAGGGTCTCTGCGGAGGTGAAATAGTCATATACCCTCCGAAGGACTCCGACTTCAACTCAGACCTGAACGTGATCGTCGGGAACGTCTGCCTCTACGGCGCGACCTCCGGCAAAGCTTACTTCCGCGGTATCGCGGCCGAAAGGTTCAGCGTGCGCAACAGTGGCGCAGTCGTCGTGGTGGAAGGCGTGGGTGATCACGGCTGCGAGTACATGACCGGAGGTTGCGCCTTGATCTTGGGTCTGACCGGCAGGAACTTCGCGGCCGGTATGTCCGGCGGAATCGCGTACGTCTTGGATGTCGACGGCTCCTTCAAGAGCAAATGCAACCCTGAGATGGTGGAGCTACTGCCACTGAACAAGCCCGAAGATATCGCCTATGTGAAGCAGCTGCTGGAGGAATTTATCGAGAAGACGGGCTCCCTCATCGCGCAATGCCTACTCGCAATGTGGCCGGAACCGACCACGAGGTTCGTCAAAGTCTTCCCGTACGAGTATCAGCGCGCCTTGAAGCAGCTGGAAGAGGCGAAGACGGTTGTCGTGCTCAACGGCGACTCGAAAATCGCGGATGAGAGAATGAAAGACATAGAGGACACCATTGAGGATGCGGACATGGCGCAACGCAAGTTGGACAAGATCAGAGGCTTCATGAAATACTCGCGGCAGAAGGGCATGTACAGATCAATTGAGAAACGTATACAGGATTGGGACGAGATATACAATTTCCAGGGTGTCAGAAAGACCCTGCGAGTGCAAGCGGCCAGGTGCATGGAGTGCGGCGTTCCTTTCTGTCAGAGCAGCCACGGCTGCCCGTTGGGTAACATCATCCCGAAATGGAACGATCTCGTGTTTCACTCAAACTGGAAGGAGGCGCTGAATCAGTTGCTGCAGACTAACAACTTCCCCGGTAAGTTCAGTTCGCGTTTCTTCGACACTCGTCGCTTTCTTCACACTCGTTTCCAAGGCCTATTCTTTATTATTATCATCTTTAAATTCGACATTTGATCGCCTTTCGTATTCGCAATTCAGTCAATGATGCATATAATTGTAATCAACCAACAATTGCAATAATCTAGAATTCACCGGAAGAGTCTGCCCCGCACCTTGCGAGGGTGCGTGCGTACTAGGAATCTCCGAGCCGCCGGTGACGATCAAGAACATCGAATGCGCGATAATCGATCATGCATTCGAGCAAGGTTGGGTCGTCCCTCATCCGCCGACTAGAAGAACCGGCAAAAAGATCGCCGTGGTGGGATCCGGTCCGGCTGGATTGGCTGCCGCTCACCAGCTAAACAAAGCGGGCCACATGGTGACCGTGTACGAGAGGAACGACAGGATCGGCGGATTGCTGCAATACGGAATACCAACCATGAAGTTGTCGAAACAAGTCGTACAAAGACGCGTCTCTCTGCTCGCTGCGGAGGGTATCATATTCAGGACGGGCGTCGATGTCGGCAAGGACATCACTACGCAGGTGAAAAATCGCGACTAGCGATATTTTTTTAATCCTGTCCTCGCCCATGACAAACATTTATCGCCGGAGATATCTTCCTATCAAGATTGTCCGCACAGACAAATCTCTGCTTAAGCTATCGATTCAGAAGCTCTCGATTCATTTGTATAACGACTCGATGAAACTCACGTATTATGTATATTATAGGAACTTCGGGAACAATATGATGCGGTATTGTTAACCACCGGCGCGACATGGCCGCGAGATCTGCCGATCCCAGGCCGGAACCTAGAGGGCATCCACTTTGCCGTGAGCTTCTTGGAGCACTGGCAGAAGAAACAAATGGGGAACATCGTACCCCTCGACATGCGATTGATGGCTGAGGACAAGGACGTGATCATCATAGGAGGCGGCGATACTGGATGCGATTGCATAGCGACTTCGTTGCGCCAAGGCGCGAAAACGATCACAAGCTTCGAGATCCTGCCTACGCCGCCGGAGATGCGTGGCAAGGACAATCCATGGCCTCAATTCCCGCGGGTGTTTAAGGTGGACTATGGCCATGAAGAGGTGTCTCTGAAGTGGGGTCGAGACCCGCGTAGATACAGCACGCTGAGCAAGGAATTCTTGGACAACGGGGAGGGCCACGTGAGTGGCATTAGAACAGTGTCCGTGGAATGGACGAAGGACGAGAACGGTCGATGGAAGATGAACGAGGTGTCAAACTCGGAGAAGGTGTACAAGTGCGACTTGGTGTTGCTTGCCATGGGTTTCCTCGGGCCCGAAAAGTACATTGCCACGGAACTGAACGCTGAGCTTGATGAGAGAGGAAACTATAAAACTCCGGCTGAGAAATATCACACCAGCTTACCCGGAGTATACGCGGCGGGTGGTTAGTATTGCGCATTATTACAATACCTTGTAAATATGGTGTCTATGTAATGTGTTTAACTATGCTGAACTCGAAGTGAATTCTATTTTTGCAAACGACCAATTTAGGCTCATCCGCAGAAACTAAGTTTCGGTAAAATTGCTGTCTGTTATAATTGTATTAAATTTATAAATGATACTTAACTAAAAAATAGTTGGTATATAAATATTTTTGCACATATTTCTTTATGCTTGAGTAATTACCAACATCAAAGCCAAAATTATACGTCAATTGTAAAAGCAGAAATGTTTGTTTATTCATTGCAACCTGCATTTTTCAAAACAGATTGCAGACGTGGACAGTCTCTCGTAGTGTGGGCGATCTCAGAAGGTCGACTGGCTGCAAAGGAGATCGACCTGGCTCTGATGGGAGAAACTGGCCTTCCCGGAAGTGGTGGTGTCATAACCGGCGTTACCGCTTAAGGATCTTCGCGGTCCTTGGATGTTGGTCTTCCAGTTAGAATACGAAAAGACCTACCGCGTGTGCATACCGCCAGGAACGAGTCGTATCGACTGTTAGAAGATGAGAGGAGAATCTTCGAAGATTCAAGGATGCAGGATCCGGGATCCAAGGATTTAAAAATTCCGAGAATCCCAGAAGAAACGAGTCTAGAATTGTAGAGTGTCTATGATTCAGAAATCCGAAAAATGTCAACATTCGGAAAACCGGTCAGGACTCGAGTTTTCGACAATCCGAGGATTGGAGCTTTTGGCCATCCGAGGATCTGTTTCTCGGGTCTAGCGACGCAAAGATCAAGGAATTCTGGAAGGAGATGATTAAAAAATTTAAGGTTTGAAGATACAACAACAATCTTAAACAACCTAATGATCAGGCAACTCGTGGATTACAACTTCCAGCAAGGAATTTAAGTTGAAGAATTTGAATATTCAAGAACAACGAGAAAATTAGGAACGTATGTTTGTCACTGATTTCTAAGAGAAAACCTCGCAAATTCAAAGATCCAAAAGTCATAATTCAAGAATAAAACAATCTAAAAGTTTCAATATCTAAAAGGATTGAAAAATCAAGAATCTGAGAACACACAGAGATCTTGTAAAATTGAAGAATTCAATATTCCTAAAATTTAACAAACTATTTTATGTCACGAAAGAATTTGAAGATATGTCTCAATTCTCAAGAAAGATCTAATAAATTTTACCTAAGATCTACTATAAATAAATGAAAAAAAAAACTAAAAAAAAGACAAGGATCCACGATATCCGATGGCACGAAAAACTAAAAATTCAAGCAACTAGTGGGTTCGAGATGGAAAGATTCTCAGATCACGAGCTGAGAATGTGATAATCAAGTGAGAAACGAGAAACGAAGTAAGATAATTTCGTTGCGCGAATCTCTCCGTGTCAGTAACGGAAATATTAAATAAATATAATTCCGTAACATAGTGAGCTTCAAATATATAAGGAAGGATCTGAGATATGGAAGCGAACTGCAGCAGGATCTACATTACGCGATACACTTCGCCAAACGTACTGTTTGTTTTAACATAACAACCATAAATTTATTCATTTGGAATTAAAAATTCCAATGTTTCATTCAAGCGCTATTTATCGAGTATATCTGTATACGAAATTTCTTTGGTGTTTCTAATTCTACATAGCAAAAATCGAAAAATTAATGATATTCTCAATCAATCTCTTATGCATATATTTTAGATTTTTTAACCATAATTATAAAATTATTTCTTATAGAATCGTAATTATTAAGGAAATATACGTAAGTACACAAGAAGAGTATTCGTGTATCTAGAAAGGATAATACAATGTGTGTGTGACACTTATTATGTTGCAAAGTGGAACAAATATTTCCGCATTTAAAAAAGATCGCTTGGAATATTATATATAATATAGAATTATTATTTAGATTATTATATATTTTATGGCATTATTTTATTATATCATCAATTTTATTCTTTATCAATGATTCTTCGAATGAATGAAAATTCGAATCAACGAAAATTTCGAGGATCCTAAAAGTATTATTTATTTTTACATACAATTATCTCATTCAAAATTACAAGTTACTGATTAAAAATTAAATACAAATAGAAGAACCTCAATGATAATATGAAGATACACGAATATTTTCATTGTACAACATTTATGTTTGTTCATCGTCAATATATAATGTTTGGCTTCGATTCTAGGCAGTCGCCTAGATTGCCTATCATATCATTACGGATCTGCTCGTATTATCGGCGAGATGAATTACACGAGTTACCGAAAGATTATAGAATAGCATAAACAATAAGAAGACAATGTAGCACTTGTACTATATAATGTCATCCACTGTAATTCCATTGATAATTCCGTCAGTTGATTCAACGTCGCGTTTCCGCAAGCTGATGAGGAATGCTTTGTTTCGACCCTTTAATCGCAATTTTCATTCAATCCAATCAAGCACGATAGATGAATTGTCTCCTAACATTTTTTTAAGAAAGAAAGGGACATTTTTTAAGCGTGTTAACGTTATCGTATATGCTAAAAGCAACAGACGTAATAACTGCAAAGAAAAAAGATAATAATAAAGTCGAAATTTTGCGAAATGCTTTGTATAACAGAATCGTCAGAATTCGATACAATTATAACGGAAATAAACGTATATATATCAACAAAAAGTACACGTAAATGCTACATGCAGCTATATAACGAAAGATTTAAATTTTCTCAATTAAACATTACATCGGATAATTAAGTGAAAATGTACCAATCTTCTTAATTCCTCGATTATATAGAAAAAGCAAAGAAACTTAAATTTGAAACGCGATTATAGATTAAGAATAATAAAACAATAATAACTACTTCGTGTTTAAACTTAAAACAGCATGAGATAAATCGGCAATATCGGTTAAGGGGTTAATGTTGCTGAAGATGAAACATAATTAGACTATCGCAAGCTAAAGATACGCCGTTGAATTGCGTTCGTATAAACTACAACAGTTGCACTCCTAGAAGCATCCCGCTAGAGGAAGAGAAAATTAGCGCTTTTAATCGCGTCGTTCTTGCAAAACCTATCACCACTACGAAGAAGAGACTTAGCTCTAGGCCCTAAGTTACAAATCCCTCACCGAGAGCTAATTTACTATCAACGACAAAAGAAATAAACGAACGATTCTCGTATTTAAACGCGATTCCTTTGTAACGCAATTTACCTTTTATTTGTACCATTGTAAATTTCAAATACACACAATATCTTGAGACAATAAATATATATTGAATGTTACGAGCAACAAACGCATACTATATCTCACAGCCGTCTCAAACAAAACAAAAGACGATCAATAGGGAGTGCAAAAAATGCCGAAAGCTTCGCGACGCAACGGTAATGCAAGCTCTCGGTCGATATCGCGTGATCCAGAAATTGAGAAAGAATTTTTGCCCGCTCCCTCTCGAATCATAAAAACAAGGCAAAAAATACCCGAAGAGGAGAACGCCAGGCATATCGTGGACTGTATTCTCGAGGAGATATTTCGATCAGCCACAGACACAAGTTACGAAGGTTATTTACAAAGAGCAGTTTACGGCTTTGTCACTAACTGCGTGTACGAAGCTTGGATGCGCGCATTTCGGGTAATTAAAAAAATATCGGAGATATAATAAAAACATAACAATATGTGAAACGTTTCACGAAATCCTGCCACGTATATATACATATATATATATATATATATATATATATATATATATATATATATATATATTACCTGCTCGTCAAATTATAAAATATATAACTGTGATTTTAGATTTTATATCCTGAGCCAGCGTCAGCAGAAATTAATTTCTCTTTCGTTGCTTTTATTACAATCCGTATGACTTTTGCGATTTTGCTTTGCAGTGGGCCCATTTAAAATACGACAATCTAGAAGAATTCCGTTTGGCATCGGACAGTCAGATTTCGGATGGATTATTGGACGAAAAAGACCCTCGATTTCGTCGCGGCGTCCCAACAGTGTACGGACGACTTGAGAAATTAATTTCAGCTCAAAAATCGCCGAGGCATTGCCGAGCGACTCATGCGAAAGGCGCAACGCGTCGTAAAATCAAGCAAATATAACATATAAATATTACCTTGCGATAACTGCACGCGGTACAATGAAAAAAGGCGACAATTTGCGATTACTTTTTGAACCCGGACGCTTTCGTAGAAATTTCGTAGAAATGAAATATAAGTTCAAACACGCGCGAGAGAATCGATTATATTTTTCGTCGCATAATTCGCGCACGAATTATGCGACGATGATGACGTCACGAATTAACGAGGGAACACCTGTTAAAACACGATCATTGTGCACGCAACGATTCCCCATACATCACGCAGCCATTAAATAATGAATTATTCATACGAATCTCTGTCGGTGATCTCACACTCACCGAATTGTATGTGGCGCCGCGACGGTCGATTGTAGCGACAACTTCTCACAGCTCAAGAGCGCGCTGCTTCGACTGTATTCAGGACGCCACCCACACGAACACAACTCCAACGTAGAATCAATTTACGATAGTCGGTCGATCGATCCGTTTTGACGACCATTTGCTTCATCTGGCACTTGCGACACATTGCCCGCCACTCGCGACGTATATTCGAGCACGTATTTCGTTCGGACGAGACGAAATATACGAAATATACGAATTCCCCCTCACACCGACATGTAACGGTCGTAGCGCACGATAGATTTCGATGCTCAACTTGGACGAACACAATCTACCCGCCGACCGGAGACGGTTCGTCACCATCGAGCGCCTTAATTTCGACATCACGGCATAAACTCGATACCAATTTCACGCGGCACGTGAATGTGCCGTTATTTGTGCACATGGGGCCGTCGCGGAATCGCCAACGACGACGACGAAATACGCGGAAATTACGGAGCGACTTACCTCGACTTCGAACGGGAATGGCGCGCCACGAGAGAATGCGCATGCGTATGATCTGTACGCAGAGATGAGCTAGTCAATTGAGACTACTCCAATGTATTTCATATTTAGTTTTTAGAGCATTCTCGTCCGCGATCATGACATTAATATGGTATTAAATTAGTCAAGAGAATATTCTCGAGTTTCTCGATCAACAGCTATAATATATTGATATCTTAAGTCCAACATGGATCCCAACCGACAGTACTTAACTTGACTAGCAACGTCATATCGAAGAAGATGCTCCGAACAACAATAAAATTCCGTTGTTGCAAGTCCGTTGTTAACAGGACCAAGGTAATCAGAATCTCGCAATTCTTACCTCACTGATGACGATAAAAATATGTAGGTAAGTTTATGCGTCAAAATCTCAACGAAACGATCGCTTACTGGATAATCGAAAGTTAGAAATATTCACTTGAAAAACAGTTATCGCAAATGCAACATCTTAACTGCCGAAATGGCGTACTTGTATAATTTTCATCTGAACGATTTCTCTCGTCTCGTATCTGTAAGCGATACGATCGACATGAAATACCCGGAAAAGTTAGGTTAACCGTGGACCTCTCACGCATAGTTGCTCCTTACAAGTATTAAACTGCATTAGTAAGAAAATGTTGATATTACGATTTGCAAGTTAAAAGCGATTAAAATTGACCACAACAGTGTATCACATAAAATTTTCAGGCTCGCGAGTCCGTCGTTGTGTGTGCACGCATCGTCATCTATTATTGATTTTCCAATGCAACTGATATTGATCGCCATCACTTCGCTGATTTTCCCCTACGATTCTTTTCCCTACGCGATACCGGTGGTTAGTTGTGATCGTTTATGATTCAAATTGGACATTTCGTTTTATTTTATATTTTGTACTTGAATCTTCCATTTCAACCGATCTCCGCGATGCACCATTGAAATATCTTATGGCGATTGTAGAGCACGGGATCAGCTGCTGATCGATTTAAAACGGCCAGAAGCTGAAATCGATGTAATTGGATCGGTACACTCCCAGGTGAGCATGATTTTTCACGCCTCGGATACGGAGATCGTACGCAAGTCGATGCGTTTTTATTGGCACGAATAGAGAAAGAAATAAACGGAGCGGAGATCATTTCTCTCGGCGTGCATCGAAAGCACCGATATCTGTGCTCACCGAAAATACACCGCTGTTAAGTCCTGATCGTGATTACCGGCATATGGCACAACACACCAACTCAGCTCAGTGTGTGCTGAGATCAATAACCGTGCGACAATCTCAATTTCTACGGGATTTAGGCATTTTCATTCCGACGATCTATATCTCGCGCGCGAGGAGAAAGTGTCGCAAGATGTATTTTCACAAAATGTGAATTCGTGTCCCTTTCTTTCTCTCTTTCTCTCTAAGTTTTAGTTCCGTGTGGGACATTAACTTTCGGGATCTTTCATTCTCCCCCTCTCCCACTGCTTCTCTCTCTCTCCCACTGCTTCTCTCTCTCTCCCACTGCTTCTCTCTCTCTCTCTCTTTCTCTCTTTCTCTCTTTCTCTCTTTCTCCCGAACGATCCCACACGGTCTCGCTCCAGAGTTCAGCGGAATATTCCACGGACGAGGGGTGGCATCCTCGTCTGGCAACAGGCGAACGTATGAAACCGTCCTCGTTGCTCCCACACCGTAAACTCTGTGCC